CCTTAATCTAACAAATTCTGAGCCTAAACTAATTCCCGACCTAAACCGTTTGAATTTCTAAACTATTTAAAATTATTATAATTTGAAATAATTAAAAAAAATTATTTACCTTTTTTTTTTGCGTCGAAAGGAGGAGGTGGGAAGGAGGAAGCAGAGAGAGCGAGAGAGGAAGGAGAGATGAGCGACGAAATGAGGAAGGGGTGAGGTCCTATATATAGAATTTATATTCGTCGTAAATTCGACGTAAATATTACGTCGAATTTACGACGAATCCGTCGTAAATTCGTCGCAAAGTTCCCACCGTACACAAAGCGAATAAGACAAACACACGTGGGTGTATCTGGACTTTGCGACGAATTTACGACGATCCGTGTTATTCGTCGTAAATTCGTCGTAACATTACGACGAATTTACGACGAATCGTATAAATCATTAAAATTAAAACGGTTGTGTATACACATATCGTCATAAATTCGTCGTAATATTACGACGAATTAACGACAAACTATACAAAACTGATGAAATTCAAAAATTGAAACATCCATAAGGACATACAAGCATGTCTATTCATGATAAATGTGGTGTGTATAACTTTCTAACATGTTTACATAACTTAATGAAGATTTTATTAAGATGTAAGATAAATCCATACATCTTGTGTAAATGTATATAACACCTTAAGATTACTTGATAAACACATATATGTCAATTTTAGAATTTTTTTTTTTTTTTGTTTAGAAAGTTGTTTTACCTTATGAAATGGTAAGCCATTTCATTCTCTTCATCAAAATCCCCCCAGAACCCCATAAAAGATTGATTTTAAGATTTAGGGGTTACATTTCGTCGTAATCTCGATGGTATATTACGACGAATTTACGACGATTACTCCCATTCGTCGTAAATTCGTCGTAATAAAAACCACATTTCTACAAGTTCTTGAACCTTACACTACAGACCCTTATATAATACATCAGTTTACTTAGGAAAATGAACCCAAAAACCATTTTGTAAGTTGGGAAAGCTAAACCCTATAGGGTTTAGGGTTTGCATGTTACGACGAAGTTACGATGATTTCTTAATAATCGTCGTAAATTCGTCGTAAAAGTCAATATATGTTCAAGTCAACACATAAACAAATTTTCAATCTTCATATTATAGAGGTATGGTGGATCACTTGATAAATTTTCTAACCGGGTCCCCAGGAGATGAAAACAAGAAGCTTATATAAACAAAAATTTAAATTTGACAAATGTTACAGTGAAACGTTCAAAGCATGCAATTAATTAATGTCAACATATTTAATTAGTCTTCATCAACATTTTCCTCGGTGTCCTCATCATCATTGTCATCATCATCACTGCTTGTTGTAAATTTGTCAACACCTTCTTCAGTTTCGTCCCCATGTAGATCTTCAACTTGTCGATTACGTGGATCAATTAAAAGAACATTTTCTTCAACATCCGGTTCTGTAATGTCGACACAATCATCTTGTTGCATTGGCGGGAGATCTACACCATCAATTATACCCCGTGGAGCAACTTTGACAACCGCCAGCCATGAAATTCCCGTATTCCGAACTCGAGGATATGGAACAAAGGTGACTTGTTCTGCTTGAGATGCAAGTATAAATGGCTCGAACTTATTGTATTGCCGAGATGCGTTTACATCTACCACTCCAAATTTGTTCATGCGCACTCCACGACCTACGAATCGTCGTAAATAATTCGACGGAAAAGCCCCTCTTTCTTGTAGTGATCATTGACTGGATAAAAGTCAGCAGCTCTATAATCGGCGAATTCCTACCCTCCCTCAATGCTTTGTTCAGCGTTTCCGCTATGTTGTTAGTCATCAGGTTATATTGATCCCCAGGGAAATAAGCTCGCGTCCACGTCGTTGTGCCCATTTTCTCCAAATATCTGGCACAATCAGCATTCATACCTCTAACCTTACCGTATATCTCCCTGAATTCGGTGATGCTAAATGCAAACGCGGCAGCTCCCACCAATTTCGAAAGGCCTTTATTCTTATACCTTGAAGTGACATTTCTCTGAACATGCACAATACAAGCTCCATGAATGGCTTTAGGATATACCATTTTCTTCGCAGCTTTAATAGAATTGTGTCTATCAGAAATGATTGTCAACCGATTGCTGTCTGCAAGCAACTTCTCCAAGTTCTGTAAAAACCAAATCCAGGCAGCATCATTCTCGCTGTCCACAACTGCAAAGGCTAGTGGAAACACTTGGAAATTAGCATCCTGTCCACTAGCTGTTAGCAACACTCCTTTATATCTCCCACCCAAATGAGTACCATCTAACACAATTAGATGCCTAAGTCTCCTAAAACCAGCCAGAGATGCACCAAACGATAGAAACAAGTACTTAAATCGCTCAAACCCATTTTCATCAGTTTATGTCTTCAATTCTGTAACAGTTCCTGGATTCGCCATCTTCAACATGTAAAGATATTCAGGAAGCTTACTGTACGACTCATCATCTGCACCTCTGACTCCCAAAACAACACTCTCTTTCGCCCTATAACACTTCATATAAGAAGCGTTAACCCGTAAATCTTCTAGTACAAGGCGCTGCAGTTCTCTTGTTTTCGGACCGTTGACGGGATCACCAATCTTTGATTTAAATACAGCAGCGATAACACGGGACGATGCTCTTTTTTAAAACTCTTTTCTAGTCTCAATATCGCATGTGTGTTCCAAATGTGCCTTCCTTATCTCGTAATAAGAGCTACCTTTTATTTCCTTAGCCAACACTCGCCAGTCACATCGCGTATCGAGACAACTCACCACAAAACTATTCCGCTTCGTACGCGTCTGCTTGAACTGAAACATCTCCTTTATTGCATAGACAGCTAGTGCAATCCTACAATCTTCCTTTGACGGATAAACCTTGCCAACTCTAACACAATCTTCCCCATCCACCAGGTCCAAATCAGGAATATCAGAATTATCGTACAGGGTATCGTCAAATAGCGGTGGAATGTCGAATTCCTCATCATCCACAGATCCAATATCACGTGGACACTCCTTTGGCGTTGTCCCAAACCCATCCACACCACTCCATCCATGAGTTTCTGTCTTCGTAAACCCTCCTCCTGGTGGGTTCCCTACATATACGTCGTGGTCAAACGCATCATTTGTACTACACCTAATCACATCCCCATCATTCAGACATTGCCACTTCTTCTCAGATGTATCTACAGGGTCGCACATAACGTCAACTGCATTGGACCCACCGTATGCCTCATCAAAAAATGGCTTCCAAAATTCCTTATCGTACTCATGTGTCATCACATCATAATCTATTTCATCACCAATATCACCTTCCTCATCATCATCACTCTCTGAGAAAACATTCTCATCAGCTTCCACATGCAAACCGTCATCTCTATTACCGTTTCCATTTCCATTATTGTAAATTTCTTCAAACATCTCCGCGTGTTTAAACAGCTCTTCGTCCAAACTGTTAGGCAATACGTTACGCTGGCCTTCGAAGGTCCCTGTAGCTGATTTCCTAGCCCTGAAGCTACATTCATCAGTAATAAAGTCCCTCTTTCTAGAAGTTACTGGATTGCAACCATCTTGTTTTTTAGCCTCCTTGTTTGTGGAATTTGGCGGAGAAGACACACAACCAACACTGTGGACGTCAATGGAGTGGTTTTCAACCCACTACCAACACTATTTGGACCTTCGTTGGTCTGTAAAAAGCCTAGCTTCCTTCCAAATCCAGGGACTTCAATAACCACAGTTTTACGCACCCTCACTGGAACAGGGTTCTTAAACGAACCATCGCCGCTGGTTGTCACTGGAGTTTTAAATGTGAAACCTTCACCCTCGAAATTACTCGGTCCGCGTCTTGTAGGATATGGTGTTTTGTACCCAGAAAGATCACCCGAAAAATCACCACCACTACTTCTTCTTCTCACCGCATTCCTATTAACACTACAACCTCCCTCAAACCCGCTTTTACCCACCTTGTTCTCGTCTCCATCAAACTTTGCGAACAGGTTTACATTACTCTGGACCCTGAAGTGTTTTAAGAAATAGCCTATCGAACTATCGTTGGTAACCATAACCGGCGGTGTAGAAATGCTGGTAGCTAGTTCGGTGCTATTAGGAGGCCAATAACTTAATGTCACCGTCACACCTTCGCCGCCATCGTAAAAAAACTCACTCAGTACACTCTTTTTCAACTCCGTGATACTAATGCCGGGCCTAAGTGGAACAACTCTAGACATCTTAAGCTTGTCCACAACGAAATCCCAGAGCCCTTCACTCGAACGAATCCACTCGCCACATATTACCAAACAATTCTCATCCATATCTAACAGTGGACCTATAATCATATCGCAAAAAAAAAAAGCTTTCATGTCCACGATATAAACATCCACGAACTCTAAAAATGCTACTTCTACAGCAAACCTGTTAGAGCTTTATCCGCCAGCGCCGAACGTGTCTGCTCAAATGAAACAGGTTAACCTAATATTACGAGGTTTCCCAAGGTGTAAGATTGGGACGTTTACCTACCAAACGTAGACACACCGTTGGATCAAGATTATTAAAATGCAAATCGGACGGCTATGACTATTGATCAAAATTTAATTTTGTGGGCCCTTCTAGAGAGAAGCTAACAAAGCATAGCCCCGTTATACATCTACATTATCCACTAACATGTATCCAAGGACTGATATCGTATAACATCTTACCACACAAGATATACTCTACCTTAAGACGCTGTTGCAGCCCATTAACAAGGCCCATGTATAACTATATGCAACTATCCCCAACCTTACGTCCAAGGAAAACAATCCAGGAATCTCTATCCACCCGCTACTGTTATCGACAAATAAAACAAGTCTTATCCGTATATGTTTCCGATCGTCGAAGATATATCTATCGATCGTCGAAGGCGTAGGTTTCTGATCGTCGAAGGTGTATCTACTTCACTATTACAAGAATCAAAAAGTGCCATACAACAATTTTCAATTTTAAATCGAAACGCAAGAACCCAGGAAAATATCGAAATCATGAATCTGCAAAAACTCTTTCAGTTTATTTTTCGCTTAGTCGTTCGAAACCAAACGAACCGTCGGTTCCATTTTTCGTTTACAATTTATCAGCCGCATATGAAATCCAGATTCAATTACAGTTCTCTCGAAAAACGAAATCCCAAACGAAATCCAGATTTCGGTTAGCCGGAAAAGAAGCACTGTCAAAATATGAACACAAAGTAAAAATTTCCCTAGCCTGGTTTAGTGAAGGTCTTTTTAGAAATTTCACACTATGTCACATAGGCAAAAGTACATCAATAGTAACAAGTGCCTTTTCCAGAAAGTGGGGAAAATGTCTTTTATTGTAATTGACTCTAAATAATATTGGAAAGAGAGAGAGTGAAAGAGGTCTTCTTCTCTTCACGCTTGTCTTTATTTTGCTCTCAAATTAAGAAACTTTAAAACGAGGTAAAAAAAAAATTAAGAAACTTTAAAACCTTCTCTCAGAACTGTTGATCTTCCGATTCTACACAGAACTGTTTACCTTCTCTCATTTTCTCCGAAAATCAGTTATTCTTCTTCTATCCCTTCTTGGTTAAACCCTAATTTCTTTTCTCCCGAACCTTTATCTCTCTGCAGATTTTCTTGTCTTATGCATGGGTTGGGTTTGATTTTCAGGGATCTGCAAAAGGATACTAATAATGGCTGGAGCAGAGAGTCACTCCGCTTACTTGGAGACAAACTTAGGCACTAATATAGCTATTCTCTTTCACGACGGCGAGTCCATTACCGATTTCAAAGGTAAGGACCATAAAATTCCAAAATCGATTTTTTTTTTTTGCTTTTTGCTTAAATTATCTGTACGGATACTCCTTTGATTCTGATGAATATCGTTTCTGGCTGTAACAAATCACATAATTGTTTTGGTTTAATTATAGAGAGACTTTGCAACAGTCACCGAGAAAAATGCCCACAATTTGGGGAAATTAGTATCTCTGGGTTTAAGGTATGTTTATGTTTTGTTCATACCCATTTTTGTTATTGTTAGCAAAACCTAAAAAGAGTTGTTATTCTTTTCTTATTACATAATATCAGGTTGAACGCGGTGGTCTGTTTTTTCATTTATCCGATGATGATTTTCTGGGTTTTGCAAAGGCTCATGAAGACTTGATCTTGCATGTTGAACTCCTGAGGGTTAAGACGAAGGAGAAAAGGCAAAAGGAATATCAAATGAGGAAGAAGAGAAAGCTAGAGCAAAGGCAAAAGCAAATCAAGCCTTTCAAGAACCGAGATGAGAGTCCTCTCGATATGGTAATTATGTCTTCAAGAACCTTTCTCTAGCTGTTTCCTTCTCTAGCACATGCCTGATTATGCAAACACGTTTTCTTGTGCAGGGAAATGTAAACTGTGCTGGTGCTCTGGAGGAGGCTCTTCCTATGGAAATCGCAAATGACACAGATGCTAACAAGAACATTGCTGCTCTGGAGGAGACTCCTATGGAAGACGCAAATGTGAGGGTTGCTAACAAGGATATTGCTGCTTTGGAGGAGGCTCTTCCCATGGAAAACGCAAATGAGATAGATGCTAACAAGAACATTGCTGCTCTGGAGGAGACTCCTCTCAAGGAAAACGTAAATGAGATGGATGCTTACAAGGATATTGCTGCTCTGGAGGAAGCTGTTCCCATGGAAAACGCAAATGAGACAGATGCTAACAAGAACATTGCTGCTCTGGAGGAGGCTCTTCCCATGGAAAACGTAAATGAGATGGATGCTAACAAGGATATTGCTGCTCTGGAGGAAGCTGTTCCCATGGAAAACGCAAATGAGACAGATGCTAACAAGAACATTGCTGCTCTGGAGGAGGCTCTTCCCATGGAAAACGTAAATGAGATGGATGCTAACAAGGATATTGCTGCTCTGGAGGAAGCTGTTCCCATGGAACACGCAAATGAGACAGATGTTAACAAGAACATTGCTGCGCAGGCTCTTCCCATGGAAAACGCAGATGAGACGGCTGCTAACAAGAACATTGCTGCTCTGGAGGAAGCTCTTCCCATGGAAAACGCTAATGGGACAGGTGCTAACAAGATCAGTGCTGCTTTGGAGGAGGCTCTTCCTATGGAAAACGCAAATGAGACTAATGCTAAAAAGGATATTGAAATTATTGAGCTCAGCGATGATTCTGATGATGATAGAGTTTCCAAGCAAATTCCGATAGAGAAGTCTGAAATTGTTGGTGGTGGTAAGAAGCAAGATCAGACCGTTAGCTCATCATCAGACAGTTCACCAAAATATGTGTTGGTCAGAGTTACAGGACGAACAAATAAGTAAGTGATCATTTTGGGGTACATAAAAAGTTTCAAACTTAGCTACACAAACTATATATGTTCATAAAACTTATTTCTCCTTCTTGTCTTGTAAACAGGCTTTTGGGGAGAATGTCAACTTCTTGCCGAAAGGCTCTCCTGAGAGATTCTCAGTCACATGACGATGAGTTGTTGTCCGACGCTGAGAGCCCTGTAACGAAGATGATTTAATCAGTGTTGTAAACAAGAAACCAGTATCTCCCCTCTCTTTGTTTTGTTTTGATGGATTGAAAAGCATGAACAAGTCACAAGTGGTTTTTAGCAAATATTATTATCATGATCTTAGCACTTCTGACTTAAATTCTTCGTTGATAACTCCCAAAACAAAATACTTTCAGTCGGAGATGGAGTAGATGGTCGTTGGAATTTGAAATATATCGTTATGGAGTTTTAATTGGCGTTTGAACAGAGACGAAGAGACTAGTTACAGCTTCTTCTCTCTCATTTTATGTTGATCACGAGTGCTTCATAAAAGTTATGAATATTGCAACAATTTAGATATTAACGTATGTACTCGACTAAATTTACGGTTTCTTGATATGTGAATTTTCTTGCACATGTATTGGATTCCCAAGCTTTCTTAGCTTCAAGGTAATGTAATATAACCTTTAACTTCAACATATTCATCAGTACATCACACAAAAGTAGTAATCACAATGTTAACAATCAAATACATAATTAGAAGATCTGAGTTGAACGTATACAAGATTCATACTCAATCGACAGAGAAGATCAGCTCTCAAGAGAAAGAGATTTGGAGATATAGATTTCAACTTTGGTTAAAGCTAAATAAAACTTCATGTCAAGCAAGAAAGATAATTGAGATTTAACAGAAGAAATTGTACATAAATCCATTTGCAACCAACGGTCTTCTTTACTTGAGGTAGAGAGCAAACATCCCAAGTACAAGAATCAAACTCCTCATCGATATCATTTACACTACTCCTTTGACTTCTTTGCCTCAGTGAACAAAATATGTGATGTAGTTGAGAAAATGATAAATTGTTTCATTGCATTTATCTCTCCTTGAGTTTTCAATTACAATATAGACTTATTTTATACACAAAAGTAAATCCTAAATAATGCATTGCATTCAACCCGAACTTGTTAACTGAAACATTTAGCTTAAAGAATCTTGTAAAAGGTAAACTATCATAGGAGTTTCAGGACTAGTCTTCACACTTTCTCTGTTACATTATTAGTAAATAAAAATTTATCTGAAATCTATCAGAAAATTCTCTCTTTTTTTTGTTTTGTTTCTATGGAAAAGATGTTTGATTCCATAAGAAGAGATTACTGAAATTTTATTGCAATTAACATTGTCTAAATAAAAGTAATTTACAAAAAATTTTGAGTTTGAAAGTTGCTTTGACTGAAAAAATTATATAAAGAATCAATTTATAACATAATATGTCGATGACCCTCTCTAGAATTGATTCTTTTGGAGTGAAGTATCAATGTATCATAGAAAATCAGACAAGTTAACTCAATATTTTATTTCTTCTTTTGTTGAGAATAAGGTTTTTTTCCCTCAGACTTACCTCCCATTTAATCAAAAATCTTATATATATATACTAATAAAAGTTGAAGCTATAAGCTTCTCAAGGCGTCCACATAGGATTTAAAACTTTAATTCTATTGATCCACGTCAGCATTCAAAATTAAGGAAAGTTTACAATTTCTAATATTATTGCTGAATAAAAAAATTAAAAAAGTTTACAAATTCTAATATTATTGCTGAATAAAGAAATTTTGTATAATTTTTATTGGTCCACCTCAATATTGAAAATTAAATAGTTTCTAAATTTTATTATTATTTTTTAAAATTATTAAAGATAAAAATTTATATACAAATTTTATATTAATAATAAAAAACTAAAATAAATCATATTAAAAAGGAATTTTCAAATTTAAATTAGATATATACACATATATTAAGAGACTTTTATATTAGCATCAAAATTTTTGTCACATAACTATAATAAATTTAAAAAAAAAATTTCTGTGTATGCAACTATTTCAAATAAAAAACAAAAAAATAGAGTTAAGTTTCACTAAAATATAAGTCATTACAACGTAAAAGAACAAACTTGACTAAACTATATGTTTAACTATAATAAAAGGTGATATAAACAAAACTATTATAAACCGCTTTAAAATTGAAAAGAGATCGTAAAATCTATAAAGCTTTGCCACCGAATTTGAGAAGAATGATAAATTTCAAACAATCCGAGAAACATATCAAGTGATTGATACTCGACACTTTTGAAAAAGAAGCATTGAAAATAGAGAAAAAGATTCTGTCATTAAGACGATGGAGACTGAGGTATCCAAGGAAGATTTTTGAAATAACATGGCATCAGATGGGGTTTTAGCAACCTGACCTTAACCACAAAGGTAACAATTAGCTGACCAAGTAGCATATGAATACATTCGGTAAGCCTCAAAACAAGGAGGAGAGACCAAAATCATGACACTTTTGAAAAACAAAGCACTGAAAATAGAAAAAGAAGTTCTGTCATTAAGACAAAGACTGAGGTATCCGAGGAAGATTTTTAAAATAACCTGACATCAGATGGGGTTTTAGCAACCCAACCTTAACCACAAAAATAACAATTGGCTGACCAAACAGCATCTGAATACATTCGGTAAGCCTCAAAACAAGGAGGATAGACCAAAATCATGACACTTTTGAAAAAAGAAGCACTGAAAATAGAAAAAGAAGTTCCGTCATTAAAACAAAGACTGAGGTATCCGAAGAAGATTTTTGAAATAACATGGCATCTGATGGGGTTTTAACAACCTAACGTTAACCACAAAGGTAATAATTAGCTGACCAAGCAGCATCTGAATACATCCGATAAGCCTCAAAACAAGGAGGAGAGACCAAAATCACTTGCCTCGTGTGGGATCTTCCAGATTTTATTTCTAAATCTTTTATTAAAAATTTAAAGCTATATGCCTCTAAGAATGTCCACATATGATTTGAAAGTTTAATTTTATTGGTCCACATCAAGATTTTAAATCAAAAAAAATTTCAAATTTTAAAATTATATTGTTAACAAAAAATATCTTTATAAAAAATAAAAATTGAAGCTATATGTTTCTAAGGACATCCACATAAGATTTAAAAGGTCAATCTTATTAGTGTACATCAATAACTAAACTTAAAATTTTACTAAATTATAAAATTACATTGCTAATACAAAACAATATAGGGAAAATTGTTAATTAAAAAATTATTCAATTATTTATTTTCAAAGCATCCACATCAACATTTAAAAATTTAATTCTATTCGTATATATCAAAATTGTAAATTATAAAAAAGTTCGCTAATTCTAATATTATGGTTAAGAAAATTAAAAAAATAAAAAAATAAAAAAATTCTATTAACAAAAAAAAACCAAACATGATATTATGATCTCCATTATCACTATTTAAGTTACAAATTTAATTTATTATCTATAAAAATTATGCTACTTAAACAAGTTTATGTTACTTGATTTTAAGATTTTTCACGTAGAATTTTAAATAACTAATAATTATGATATATATTTATCTAATTTTTTTTTCACATATACAAACATATTTCCACATAATCTCATGTAATATATTATGCGAAAATGATCAAAAAATTACATTTTATATATTCGACTTGGAATTGCAATATATTAATGTAGAGTTCTTAGTTTTGAGTTGTTCAATTTGTTATTTTATTATTTCTAAATCTCTATATATTAAATTGTACCGATTTTGCCTACTTAGAAGAAGTGAAAATGAATATGATGAATCTGATATAATCATATGAAAATTATTAAAATAAATAAATATGATATATTCATTGAAAAAACAGATATAACAAGAATAAAATGAACATGATGAAAACAAATTCATTTTTATTAGAAGAGATGATGTGTAATTATTGAAAAATTATTCAAACGTTTACACAACCAATTAACAAAAATATATTTGATTCATAATTTTGTGTGATTTTATTCATTTTACATTCAACTATTATTTTGGTTTCAAATTTAAAGTTGTTATTAATCTCAAGACAAAATATTATTTATTAGTTTATTTTTAAATTATGTATCGGTTAAACAAGAGAAGAGAAAAAAATTAAATTTTAAATTTTATTATTTTTATTGTTTTTAAAGAACACATATATAATTGGAATAAAAGTGAAAATGATGGAAAAAAATTATCTTCATGATTTAAAGAAGTGAATGTATAATATTTTATCATCATGTCAATACTATGTTTAAAAAGTAGTATTTGATTAATTTGTAAAAATTTTAGTTGGTTTGGATATATTAACTTATAAGTGTTTGACCAAATAATATATTTTTTAAAATATGACATATTATATATAAATTTAAAACAAAACAGTTAAACTCTCAAAATTTACAGAAAAATTATTAGATTAATATCATAATATTTTTAATATATTATTAAAACACTAAAAATATAATTAATTGCATATAATTTTTATTAATAAAATATTTAAGTGTAGTGTGGAGGCAAAATTTAGTTAAATTATTTAGAACTTAGATCGGTTGACGTATCGAGTTATTAAAGAAAAAAGAACTAGACATGAAAACACTTTTTTTGTTTTTTTTTTGCTTTACAGATCCCCTCGTCTTCAACCATTAAAAAACCTGAATTGAGTTTGATTTTTAATAAACCCTTCTTTTAAAATCAGACAAAAGCGACTCTTGAGATTAAAAGAAACCCTAAAATCCTTTCCGCTCCTTAATCTTCTTCACTCTCGCTCGTCTACTTCCTTCCATTTCCGAAAATTCAAACCTTGTGCTAATGGCCAACCTCGAACAATCTCAGAGTCGGTGTGTCTTTGTGAATACGAACCTTGAAACCTATGTTGGGGTTCTCCTCGGCAAAGATGAAACAAGCTCTGATTTCAAAGGTTCGGAACATAAAGACTCCCTTTAATTTGGTTATTCGACTTTTTTTTTTCGTTTCTCTGGCTGCACATTGTTACCCCGTTTCTGAATTTTTGCGGTTTAATGGTAGAAAATTTACTCAAGAAGCATCAGGAATGCTATCCTGAGATTGGTGAAATCGAAATTTCTGCTCTGAAGGTATGTATTTATGTATGTATATATGGATTTAGCTGCCTTGTCTGTTCATAATCAGGTTAGTTAGGATTGGTTTTGTGTTTTCAGGTTAAATGCCGAAATCGGTTCTTTCATTGCCATGATTCAGCGATTTTGAGTAAAGTTTTTCAAGGCATCATTAGTGACTGGTATGTGTATGTGGATGCTGTCAAAGTAGCAATCGTTGAAAACAATGAGCCTCTTGAGACTGAGAAGGAGAAGGAGGTGGAGACTGCAACAAAGAAGAGAAAAAGGGAAACTTTGGATGGAGAAACAAGTGGGAAGAAGATGCACTCAGATGTGACTGAGAGTAAGGAGTTGTGTGAAAAAGTAGAGGCTGAAGTTGAAGATACTTTCATAGCTTCCGGTTCTCAGATTGTTGAAGATTCTCATCAGAGAAACTATGGAAAGGGAGAAGGTGATCAGGATGTTTCGAGAGAGGAAGGTGTTGTTGGTGACGTAAACACGAGTAAGAATAAGATGAGGAAGAACAAGCAGAAGAAAAAAAAGCCTAGCGAGTCTGAGAAGATTGAGAAGACTGATGATGATGTTCCTGTACAAAGGAATGAGGAAAAAGCAGACTTAGTCGGGGAAGCATCGTTATCAAGCTCTGTGTTAGTAAACAATAGCGTGAGTCAAGGAGTAGATTCAAGTAGATGCACATGTCAAAGTTTCATAAGCAGAAAGCTGATTGTATTGGATTTGAACGGAATCCTCGCTGATGTTGTTTATGGGTCTAATGTTCAACGCGCTCCAGATAGTCATGTAGCAGGCAGATCAGGTAAGAAAGAATTAATCTCAATGTGGCCAGTTGTAACTTGTTACATGCTTATGTGACTCTTAAGTAATCATCTTTGTTCTTTTCTATAGTTTTCGAGAGACCTTTTCTTGGTCCTTTTCTTGACTTCTGCTTTGAGAGATTTGAAGTTGGGATATGGTCTTCCAGGCGCACGTAAGATTCTTGACTGATCCAATACAAAAATGCATATGGTTTTTAATACATATTTTAAGTTTAATCTACTCCGTCTTTCCTTTTTCTCTTAACAGTGGATTGGAATCTTTGATTTACAACATCTTGAAGACCTATTCGAAAAAAGTGTATTTCTGTTTCGTAAGTGATCTCCACAACGTTATGAGCTATGTACTTGATTATGAGAGATGTAATTTGCATTGGAAGTATAAATATAGTATACAATCTCTAGAATTGTATTTCTTTGACTACGAGATATGTAATTTACATACGAGCAGAGTTTATTCTAATTCCTTTTCTGTATGTACACAGGATCAAGGTATGTGCACTACCACAAGGTTCAAGACTCTGGAGAATAGTTCAAAACCTCTATTCCTTAAGGATCTAAGAAGAGTGTGGGAGCGTGTAGGGACATGTGTCAGTTGTGGCAAAGTAAAATACGATGAGTCAAACACCTTATTGATTGATGACTCACCCTACAAGGCTTTGTGTAATCCTGTAAGTACTCGGAACACTTGTTCAATGTCTGTGATTTACTTTAAACACTAACATTGGTTGGTATTATTCTTACTTCTCTGTCAGCCACACACTGGAATCTTTCCTCTCCCGTACAAGTACTCAGACCATGAAGATTCTGTGTTGGGTGAGTCTTTACCTTCTTAATACTCTACAACATCCATTTTCTTTACCATTCTGTTTTGATCAGATGCTAAGAAAGATACCTGTTGAAAGCTAATATCTTATGCGGTTTCTAATTTATTAATTCACGCTGATATTTTTCATTTCTTGAGAACACAGCTGGTGAGCTATTAACGTACTTGGTAAAGTTAGCGGACGTGGACAATGTTCAAAAGTTTGTAGCGGAGAATCCTATTGGCCAGGCGGCCATAAGTGAGACACATGAATCTTGGGAGTTCTACTCTCAGGTGATCGAGGAATATAAGTAAATCTATCCAGGGGACTAATGACTGACTAAGCTAGGTTCTAATTTATAACTCTTTGGAATGATGTAATGGTGAAGTGATTATGCGTTTTTTGTTATCTAAAAACTGCTAAAAGCATTTTCCAGAGAATCCATCGACCCTTCAAGGGCATTTTGTAGCTATTGTTAATTTCTGGAATGCATTTGAATCAAATATGAGATTTGGAAGAAAATGTGCTCTCAGTCTCTCTAGCTACTTATTATTTAGAAAATGCTCCAAAATATTTATTCTTTGAATTCCATTAACTTTTTTGTTGATTTGGTTCAGTCAAGAAAACCAAACGTGGAAGACAAAGACTTATTCACTACAGAAACAAAGTATCATCAAGGTTAAGCTTGTTAATCAACATACAGTATTAAAATGACTAAATCTCACAACCGCTTCAACTATTATTAATATTCCTTCAAAGTATATTTTCACATCCTTCCAACTTTTCAATATGGTAATCAGTAATCAATCACACATTAGTACATAACATTACCAAAGAATCAATTGTAAAAATGAAATACATTTGTGTTTATTACGATACTAGCTGCACTTGTTCTAGAGAGAGGTTAAGCACCAAACATCCTGAAACCCAATCGTGACTGTATTCGCTTCGAGCTGTAAAGTTAAAAAGTTATAGCATACTAACATTAATATATGTACTCATCTATAAAATCTTTGGCTATTCTGAATGATACTTCAATTTACCCTTTAGATGCTGATGGTTTAACCAAAGGCTTTGGAGGAAGAGGAGGAGGCTCAGGAATACCACTCAGTTTGGGTATAGTTTTCACCTGTTCCAAACAAAAAGAAGAAAACATTTATACTTAGATTTTTTGTTTTGGTTTTCGGTAATAACATTTATGTTTAGATTCTGATCATAACATAAGTAAAAAAAATTAAGACTAAATAATTTTACCAAATTTCGATATTGGAGATTGTAGAAGGAATGTATATATCTCTGCTTTGCCAATTTCTGATCTTTGTTCAAATGCCTCCAGTAGCTATATGTACTCCCCATGTTGATCACTTTGTTTGCATATATCTTCCACGTATAGCTGCACATATATAAACTAAACTCTCTTTAGAAATCATTTTGTTGAGTGATAATTTTTATAAAAATGATCTAAATGTTCTAAAAAAGATCTAACATTACCCCCCAGCAATTTCCCAAAATTATCCAAAATGTTCTAAATATTCATTATCCAAAATGTTTTATATGTTCTAAAAATGATCTAACATTACAAAATTATCCAAAACTACCCGGACTACCCGAAGTTACTCAATCTAGTAAGAATATGAATATCCGATACCAAAATTGTCCGACTTGATTTTGATAAGGATACTACACTTAGGGTAAGAATTTTAGATACCGACTGAATTATATGCTATATATTACCAGAGACCCTTAGCCAAAAATAGGCAGCATTAGTAAAATGTACCATTCATTTATGCGTTGCAGTCCTTCAGCCGAAAACATGTTCCAGTAATTAGCATCGATTTTGCATTTCTCAAAGAAATTTGCAATCTTATCGCTTGATTCTTCTCCGTTGCTCGGGTCAATGTGGAAACCAGAGACACCATCCACAATAATCTCAGCAGGACCGCCTTGGTCAGTGGCGAATGTGACCAAACCACAGCTCATAGCTTCAATGACAGTAAGACCAAAGGCTTCATAATGTGCAGGCTGCACAAAAGCACCTCTTGTATCTGCAATACATCGGTACAGTTCACCGTTTCTTGTTCGATCGGTTTGAGCTGCGATCCATCTAAACTGACCCTTGAGTTGGTATTTTTCAATCATAGTATGCATCTTCTTGATCTCTGAGATCTCTTCCCTGTCTTTAGACTTGGACGGGTCGAAGAATCCTCCAACAATCACAAGGTTTACTAAGTCTCGTAGCCTCTTGTTCTTGGCATACCATTCGGTTAATCCGGTTAGGTTTTTCACGACATCAAGCCTTGCCATTGAGAAGATGATCGGTTTCTTCTTGTCCACCAAGTAACCACTTTGGTTCGTAAGAAAAATATTGGTTAAATTTAGCCATTGATAAAAATTAAAAACTTGGTTAGCATAACTATATGAAATAGAGACGTACATGTGTTCATCATTCTCATTTTGGCTATACAAGATTTCTTCAATGGAAGGATAAAATTTGGTGAATCTCCGATCTTGCGCCGTAAAAGGGAAGTAGATAGAGTCATCCGCGCCAGGAGCTGCGATGTTGAATCTCGGATCAAACACATTGATGCCGGATACAACTCTATATAGCCCTGGAAGTGTGAAGCTCATGTGTCTCTCGTATTGGCCTGCCCTCTCTTTACTGTCAAATCAAACCGAACCATTAACTATACCACTCGATTTTCGTCAAACCGGAACAATCCCTGTCCTAATGAAATTATTTGGTTACCTTCCAGCGATCTCTTGGTAAGTGCTGGCTATGATGAAATCGGCAGAGTTCATAGAGATTAAGTCAGCCGTAAATTGAGATGAAAAATGATATTTAGGATCAAACTCTTTCCATTTGTTGTCAGAGTCTTCATATTTAGTCTTCTCCAATGCATGTGCAATAGTTGCCTGGATTTATATACAGTATATGTTTTTTTTTTCTTTCATTTCTTGACATAAAATGAGTAACTATTGATCATAATTAAGGAATTAAAAGGTAAGGGACCTGAGTAATTCCAAGCTTATTAGCCATGAGTGAAGCCACCAAGTTTCCATCCGTATAATTTCCGATAATTAAGTCAGGTTTTCCCTCCAAGATATCCAAGATTTTTGTTGTTGCATCCTATATACATAATATTTACATTTAAGTAAAAGTTCCTGCAAAATGGATAAAAACAAAACCTAACATTCTTATATTTAATTTTAACCTTAGTGAACCTTTCTAGGTATGGGTAGATATCAAAGCGGGAAACCCAACGACTTAAAATCCCATTCTCTGTTACAAATGGAATTCGAAGAATGTTCGAATGTTTGGTACCGATAATGGGTTCGAATTCTTGGTTACATGTAGTATCCTTTGCGTCTGGGATTAATCGTGTTACCTAAAACCAAATATAATTATCAACTCGATATCACATTAACTGAGAAAAAGTATAACAATTAATTAGTACAAACGGTACTACCATTCAAGACTTGAATGTATATACCATAACGAATGTGGCTTTTTCGACTTAGACACGTATGTAAATTCTTGGGTTCATGATCAAGATTTTATACTCAATTTTTGAAAAAGAATACGTACAACAAGAATCTGCGGTTTGAAATTAAGGCCTTGAGAGGTAACTCTGTGAAGCAATTCAGCTTCAAGGGCCTTGACTTGGTCAAGAATGTAAACGATCTGACCGCCGGTATCAGGCAAACCAAGAACATCGGTTTGACCAAAGTAGCCGTGAACCGAGAAGATAACAACGTTGAAGATTCTAGGAATCCTTGCAAAGAATCTATCAATGTTGCCAGAATCAGGGGCTTGAAGAATCTCTGACAATATTCTCATGGTCTCTTTTACTCTCCCTGCGTTTTCTCCCCATCCTTTCTCGAAACCCCACTCCTTAAACCTGTTTTTGGTTTAGCACAAAATTAATCCGCTTAACCAACAAATCGGTTCTGCTCGGTTAAAAATGTGAATATATAACACATTGAGTTTTTTTTTCTTTCTTTTTGTTTAAAAAAGAGGAGTTTAAGGTCTAGCCTGAGTTCAAAGGCTTGGAAAGGTGTGTCCTCAGGCAGCTCCGATAGGAAAACATCAGCCAAAATCAAACTCATCTCAAGCTTTCGAGCTGTGTTTAGTGTCTCATTCATCATAAGGCTCTGAAATTATATATTAACATCTCTTTAAGGTTAGAATCAACTAGGCTTCGATGTTTATTTGTGTTATATATGTTTGCATTTGCTTTTTTTTTGTGTGTGTGTAGTGTAATTTTCTTTTCTTTTTCGTTCTTCAATGAATCCACATTTTTGTTAATCAATGTAAACGTAAAACAAAATAATATGTTAAATTTAATTTGTGGTATTCCTTATTGCTTTGTGGTACTTTTTTTTAAGTTTTGTTTTTTGTTTTCCATATGTAAACCACAAACGCAAAAAAAAAAGTCATTTACAAAAAGAAACACATGAATCAATGAATGGAAAACAAAATTAACCTCTCCTTGATGCTCAAGTGACAACAAGTAGTCCACGAGAGACTGCGGGTTATCGTTTAAACGGCCTCCAAGCTTTGACGTGACAAAGCGTAGGCCATTTCCTATTGAAGACGACAACGAAAGCTGAGGCAGAGTGAAATCCAACGCACCAAAATCCACCTCCAACGCATTTTCATCTTTAGCCCTATTTGCAAACTTCCAATCAGACCAATAGCTGAAGAAAGTAAACGTATTTGGTGAAGAAAAAAGAGAAGAAAATGTGTAGGCACCAGTTCTCGTCAAAGAGAAGCTCTTTGAGTTTGAGATACTGCGTGTTTGATAGAGTTTCTACCGAGAGATCGGAAGAGTTAACCTTCACGTATTGCCAATTTCCCGGGTTCCCTCTTATCGCAAATGCCACGATTGGAGGAATTACCACTGCCTCCTGCAGTTTCATACACATTTATATTGCTAAATCTAGCTCATGATATGCTATTTTTCAAACCAATTAACATTAGCAATATTCTCACGTATATAAGGGAAAAAATACATAATCAAGATTATAAGAGATGACACCTTTTAATGCCAAGTAATTGTAAAAGAGGATCTTATTAGCCTTCATAAATATTTTTAAAACAATCAATTTAGCATTTGACAACAAATATTTAGAAAGTATTCTGCAGTGACCAGAAGGTAAAATATTTTTATTATAATAATAATCGAAAGACCCTTGATATACGTAGAAAGCTACTTAAAATGTTAGATTCTTAAAAATTTCCACAATAAGAAAAGATGGAAAAATCAAAAGAGTTTGGCAAGACCTGAGTGAAGCAGAAGATCTTTCCAAGATCACCTTCCATGACTCGCTTGCGTTGTGTTAAATCATTGATAACAATCTCCATCTCATCCATCAACTGGTTTAATTTCATCACCCTTCTGCCCTTCTCAATGTACTTCTCGAGGCAACGTTTTATGTTCCCGCGGTTTTGTCCCATCGATTCTGGGATCCCATTGCCTAACGATCCAGATATCATTTCGATTGTGTTAGG